GTGTCATCAAGAAAAGCATGTTATGGCATAGTATCTAGGAGGCCTTTTTTTTTTTTTTTTTTTTGCGGTACACAGGCCTCTCACTGTTGTGGCCTCTCCTGTTGCGGAGCACAGACTCCGGACGCGCAGGCCCAGCGGCCATGGCTCACGGGCCCAGGTGCTCCGCGGCACGTGGGATCTTCCCGGACCGGGGCACGAACTCGTGTCCCCTGCATCAGCAGGCGGACTCTCAAACACTGCACCACCAGGGAAGCCCTAGGAGGCCATTTTTGTGTATGCACACACACACACACACACACACACGCACGCACGCACGCACGCATGTTTAAAAGTTGGTAAGGCCATGTACCTGACATTAACAGTGATTGGTTCTGCGTGGTGAGACATGGGTGATTTTATTTCTGCTCATCAATATTTTCTCATTTTCTAAACTGGATTATTGCACTAAAGGGCCAGTAACCTATCACAGCCTTGGCCCACAGAGGCCTGGCCCTGACTGGCAAAAGTGCCCAGAATGGGTCAGGTCAGGGGAAGGGCCCCAACTCTTGAATGTACTGAGGTCAGAGTTGCCTGATCAAGTGGTGTTGGTGGTGGGTCCACTGTGTGCCCAGCCCAGGGTGGTCCTGAGCCTGAAGGAACTTACGATCTAGTTCAGGAGGTAAAATATGCATTCATTTGCTCGTTCACTCATTCATCCAACAGATAGCTATTGGGCACCTGTGAGCACTGTGCCAGGTACTGCACTTATAGGGTGAACATAGTCCCAGAGTGTGATGTGTGATATGAGTCTTGTATAAAGGGTTATGGGACTTTGGATGCGGACCAGAGGAGGGGGCCTTTGAGCTGGAATACGAGGATCCACAGGACATGGGCGGATGGGGAAGAAGGCGTGGCCCAGGGGGGAGGGCAGAGCTGGGGTCCTCTTCCTCTCCAGGTGTGCCAAAGTCCAGGGACCTGGCTTCCATTACCGCCATGACGCCAGTGTGTCTTGTAGCCCTAGGAAGCTTACGTAACCTCTTCAAGCTTCCGGTTCCCCACCCACAAAGCGCAGATCATTTCATATCCTCCTCTCTACCCTCCAGCCATCTCCCGCTCTTGTCAGGATGCTCTGAGTGTAAATGTTCTTTTAAGCTTTATCCAGAAACTCCCAATTGGGCACTTGGGCTTGTTGCTTGCTAGCCTGGCTGCTCCAGTTTGTTGATTCTGCCAGCTTTGACACAGTCTGGTGGCCCCATTGCTCCTTCCTCTAAGCTGCTCAAGCACCTTTAGTGGTTAAATCAGGGGAAAGAGATACACTTAATCCCCGCCATCACTGTCCTTGGGCAGAGTGGTTTGGGGAACGCTGCAGACCCTGAAGAGGCCAGCTCAGTGAGTGGTACTTGGAAAAGACAGGCTGAGAACTCAGGCAGCGCTGCTGTCTCTAGGCCTGGAGTCACGGGGATTTGCTCCAAGCCTGGGCTGCAGCTGGTCTTCATGCCACGCCCAGCAAACCTCGGCAGGGGCATCACAGGGAGACCCTCCTCCCCATCTCAGGAGCACCGGCCACTCTGCAGCCCGCAGGCCTCCCTGGCTGAGGGGTGGAGGAGTCACGGAGTCCTGAGAGAGAAAGTCCTTAGCAACCCCTAGTTCTTGCTTGAAGGCAGGCCAGGGTGATCTGACGTCACCTAGGGGATAGTGGACGGTGAGGAACCTGATTAGGTATCGAGGGTGGAGGATTCTGGCTAAACCAACTTAGCAGAATTCTTGCTAAAATTGGACAATGAGAGATGAATACTGAAGCACAAAAGTCAGGCCTAGTTGAAAAATCCAGGGGAGCTGGAGCAGAGTTAGAGGATCATTGTCAGCCTGGAGAATCCAAGGCCCAGTTTCCTTATCTGCCAAATAGGTCATTATGAAGAACCACCTAGCACAGGGCCTCAAATATCAGTTCCTAGAAGCAGCCTCCTTTCTTGGGCCTTTTTTTTTTTTTTTAATTGGCTGTGCCCCGCGGATGTGGGATCTTAGTTCCCCGACCAGGGATGGAACCTGCGTCCCCTGCATCGGAAGTGTGGAGTCTTAACCACTGGACTGCCAGGGAAGTCCCTTGGGCCCATTTTAACAAGGTGTTAACCTCCCTGGGCTATGATTTCCTCCCGTGCCACATGGGGGTATAATACCCTGTGAAATGACCTGACTTCTTAAGAGCCTAAGGCAAGAGGATTCTCTTATCTGGGCGATCAGGGGCAGAAGGGATGATGTGTCTGTCCCGCCTGCCCAGCTGCTGGCTGTGCTGTTGGCCATTACAAAGCTAATGTGCTAATGTGGAGAAGGGGAAGCTTCCAAGTCATTAGCCCTTCTCTTCCCAGCCATTAACTGGTAGGGAAATTGGGGGCCCACTTTCCATGAATAAAGACGAGAAATGCCACAGGCGACCCCTTCCTTCAGCCCCCACTCCAGCAGCCGCCCCACCCAGTAAGGGGCATAGAGGAGCAGGCTGCTGACAGCTGTGTGATGTGACCTTAGCATGCGGATGAGCTCCAGAGGAAGCAGAAGGTGAGCAGGAACTGAGAGCAGTTGATCTTGCTTTTCCTCCCCTCCCAGGAGTAGCATCTGGTCATAACCTTGCATTCTAGAAACGCCTTATCTCTGCTTCTTTCCCTGCCTGAGCCTCCACGTTTGCCTTGGGCTCTGGGTCCCTCCCCATCGCCTCCTTCACGGCTCCTGTCCTCTCATCCATCATGCAAGTTCCTGCCTGTCAAACAAGAGCCCCACTCGCCGCGCTATAGCTAGTCTCGCTTGGGACCCAGATCCCGACCACAACCCACCCTAGTAACTCCCTGCCGGCTGCCCAGAACGTGTTTTTGTGCCCACCATGTCTATGTGCCAGGTATAGTGTTTGGCCCTGGGGATCCAAGGACAAAGATAGACTCTGCTCTCAGGAGGTTAAGAGTTGCCCCTGCCTCCAGCACTGGACCCGTGGTCTAACGAACAGAGCCAGCCCCCAGGGAGCTCAGAGCCACTCACCCCAAGGTGCTAAGGGAGGGCAAACTCCCGTGATCTGTGATCAGTGATCTTTGATGTTACTATTGCAAAAAGACTGTGACTTGCTGGAGGCTCATATGATGATGAACATTTTTTTTAGCAATAAAGTATTTTAACATTAAGGTATGTACGTTGTTTTTTTAAACGTAATGCTGTTGCATACTTAATAGACTACAGTGTAGGGTAACATAACTTTTACATGCACTGGGAAACCAAAAAAAATTCATGTGACTCGCTTTGTTGTGATATTCACTTTATTGCCGTGGTCTGGAACCAAACCCGTGATATCTCCGAGGAATCACTGCACAGATATTCTCTCATTCATCCTTAAACAACCCTGTGAGGTATATACTGTTATTACCCTGATATGAAGTTTATTTTATTATTTTTTTAATTGAAGGATAGTTGATTTACAATATTGTGTTAGTTGTAGATATACAGCAAAGTGATTCAGCTATACATATATATTTTTTTCAGATTCTTTGCCATATAGGTTATTACATTCTTTCCCATAGAGGTTGAATATAGTTCCCTGTGCTTTACAGTAAATCCTTGTTATCTATTTTATATATAGTGGTGTGTATCTGTTAATCCCATACTCCTAATTTGTCCCTCCCCAACCCCACCTTTCCCCTTTGGTAACCATGAGTTTGTTTTCTATGTCTGTGAGCCTGTTTGTTTTGTAAATAAGTTCATTTGTATCATATTTTAGATTCCACTTAGAATTGATATCATATGGTATTTGTCTTTCTCTCTCTGACTTTACTCAGTATGATAATCTCTGGGTCCGTCCATGTTGCTGGAAATAGCATTATTTCATTCTTTTTTAGGGCTGAGTAACATTCCATTGTATATATGTACCACATCTTCTTTATCCATTCATCTGTTGATGGACACTTAGGTTGCTTCCATGTCTTGGCTATTGTAAATAGTGCTGCTAAGAGCATTACGGTGCATGTATCTTTTCAAATTAGAATTTTCGTCTTTTTCAGATATATGGTATGAAGTTTAATAATTTGCTTTAGGTACACAGTTGTTATGTGGCTGACCTGGGACTTGAACCAGAGACTGAGTGATCCTAAAGATTAGGTGTGAGGAACCGTAAATGTTTTCAAGTATTAGTATAGCTGCTGCCTTGTTCTGGTCCTTTTTTTTTTTTTTTTTTTTTTTTTTTTAATTGAGACAAAACTAACCATTTAAAAGTGTACAATTCAGTGGCATTTAGTGCATTCACAATGTTCTGCACCTGTCAACTCTAGTTCCAAAATACTTTCATCACCCCGAAGGAGACCCTGCACTCATTAAGCAGTCACTCTCCAATCCCCTCACCCCAGCCTCTGGCAGCCACTAATCTACTTTCTGTCCCTATGGCTTTGCCTATTCTGGACACTTCATATGAATAGAATCATATACTCTGTGACCTTTTGTGTCTGACTTCTTTCATTCAGCATAACGTTTTCTAGATTCATCTGTGCTGTAGCATGTGTCAGGCTGATTAATATTCCATTGTTTGGCTATACCACTTTTTGTTTATCCATTCGTTGGTGGACATTGGCTATTGTGAATAGTGCTGCTGTAAACACGTGTGCACATATTTGAATACCTGTTTGCAGTTCTGCGAGTTCCACTCGAGTGGCATGGCTGGGATAAGTGGTAATCTATGTTTAACTTTTTTTTTTTTTTTTTGGCTGCGTTGGGTCGTCCTTGCTGTGCGTGGGCTTTCTCTAGTTGCAGTGAGCGGGGGCTACTCTTCTTTGCAGTGCGCGGGCTTCTCACTGCGGTGGCTTCTCTTGTTGTGCAGCACAGTAACTATTTTTTAGGATGCTCTTCTGCATGTGGTTGTGATGCCCTGGTGGGCCCCAGTGGCCCGTCACACAGGGCCGGGTGCTGGGCACTGAGCCCATGTGCATCGGGTGATGCATCCTCCTTCTCTGCCCGCTTGGCTCCAGCACCCTAACCTGTCCCTCTCTCCCTGACAGACGTGCCCGTGGAGAAGCTGGCCGCCATGCCCGCCTTGCGCAGCATCAACCTGCGCTTTAACCCGCTAGTTCGACATGCTGATGTCTCCGGAGGACGCGCGGGCCTCCCCACCCTAGGCCTCCCTCCTCATGCCCGCCCAGCAAGGGACAGAGGCCACCTGGCCTGGCGCCCTGAGGGGAGGGAGTCCCACGAGCCCATGGGAGGCCAAGTTTGGGGGGCTGGGGGCGGGCGGGCTGAAGAGTGTGTGGCGGGAGGGGTGTGGCGGTCCAGGATAGATAGCGTAGAGCAGTAGTGGGCCCTGGAATGCCCGGAGGGAGGAGGCGAGGAGGGGGCTGGAGCCCAGACTCTGGGCACTCACAGCTTCTGTGCAAACCTGGGCAGATCCTCTGAGCCTTACAATTTGAGGAAAGGGGCAATGGCAGGGGCTTTTGCCTCCTTTGGGCTCCCTAAAGGCTTTTGGGGGAACACATGCCTCCAAGTTACCTTCGAATCATTGGTACCTTCTGGGCCCACGGATGAGCGTCGCTGAGCGTTTTCCAGGCCCTTGTGGGTTCGAGGCCTTGTTTCTAGTGCTGAAAGCCAGTGGCTGCCATAAGAGGGACAGAAGACAATCTCCATCTATTTATTGATTCCTGAGAACTGACCAGGCTGAGGCCTTCCACAGTGCCCCGTCCTCAGCCCTGTGGGTCCCTGGATTGGCGGGAACCTGAACCAGGAGTCATGGGAAAGCTGTGGAGACAGTGTGGCCCGACACTGTAGCAGGGTTGAGAACGTTTGTATAGGAGCCCAAGAACCAGCAGGCCGGCAAGTGGAGAGCAAATCAAGTAGGCTCTGTCCTTCCTCGTGACTAAGACATCGGTGGGGTAGGAAGTCAGGAGTGCCCCATCCCTCCCCTGGGCGTGAGCAGGGGTGCCTGGCATCAGCCCTTCTGCTGCAGGAGAGGTGGCCCAGAGAGAAGCAAAGCCATTTGCACCTGTGCCACCCTCAACAGTCTCCCTCAGGCAGGAGTCTGGCTGCCTTGTCGCTGGTCCACACAGGGGCAGAAGGCACTATGGACCATTGGATTCGTGGCCAGCCAGCTCCCAGGCCACCACCCAGAGCCCTGATGACCTAGTCATCTCTAGGCCCTCAACCTGGAGTCTAGAGTGTGGCCAGATAATTGCGTGACCAACCATCTCTGTTTGCCCGGGACCTAGGGGTTTCCTGGGACGTGGGACTTTCAGTGCTAACACTGGGATGACACCCGGCAAACGGGCAACTGGTCCCTCTACCAGGAGAGAGCCTGAGGCTCTTGCTTCCTGACAACACCTGTGGTTTGGAGAACCTCTGACCCCTTGATCCCCAGGTATCTACCTCCCACCTTCTCATCTGTGGAGCAAGCAGACTCAGAGCCCACCTTGCCTGGTCTGTGGGAGACACCTGAGGCCCCAGGACTCAGAGCAAGCCAGGCTACCCGGATCCTACATTTGTGGACCGGGGGCCAGTCTTCCACTCCCAAGGTTAGGCTGTTCAGAGCTCAGACCACCGCTCAGAGCACTAACCCTTTATCAGAATGCTCCCCGTTCCAGTCCCCCTCTCCAGCTCCGAACCCTGCCCCCGCTCAGGCCTTCTGTCTCCTGGTGAGAGGCTGACAGGTTGGGCCGTTGTGGCCCGTTGCTGAGCGCTCGGTGTTCATGTTCGCTCTGCTCATCTCCCAAGGCCTGGTCGGTGAAGCTCTGGAAAAAAGGGTTTTCAGGGTGAGGAGGCTGAAACGGGATCTTCTAGGGCTTCCGAGTTCAGCCATGGACGCTGGGGACAAGTGAGTCTGCAGTCCAGCCTAGGCTGTCCTGGTCCCCGCTACCCCCCAGCCTGTGTCTTGGAGTGGGGTTTCTCCTTGTCAAAGAAGGGGCGTACTTTTCCGACATGCACAAAGGCATTGTATGGCTAGAGCTTTGCAACTCAAGTATGGTCCGTGGGCCAGCAGCATTGGCGTCCACGGGAGCTCGTTAGAAACGCAGAATCCCAGGCCTCACTCCAGACCTCCGGAATCAGAACCTGCATTTCAAAAGATCCCCAGGTGATTCCTATGAGCACTTTACTGTTTGAAAAGCAGAGGCCTGGGGTGACCCTCGGGATGTCCTCAGAGTGGAGGGTGAAGGTTCTCAGCTCTCCGCCTGCTGACAGGGTCCGAGTCTGTGCTCATCCCCCTCCCTAAAGCAGTCCCCAGAGACCTTGGGCCTCTTAGATCTTTCCAGAGTCTGTGTGGCACTCCCAGTGAAGGGACTGACCCAAAGCCACCAGGAGAGGAGGGCTGGGTTTGTCTGGCCCTCTGGAGCCCTGCCTTTCTGGGTAACCTCTGCATGCTGAGCTGCTGCTTCCCCGGGTCCTCACCTCAAGCCCTCTGAAGGGGATGCTTCTGGAAGCTGTTTTCTACTCTGTTTGGAGAGTTTGCCCTTGCCTGCTGGGAAAGCTTGGGCATCAGAGATGGCCCCAAATCAAAGCCCACTGTGTGAGTGAGCCCTTAGTTTCAGTCTGCAATAAAGAACACGTTGGTTTCATCTGCCTCTTGGTGTTTGATTTATTCTCACAGCACACATCTCTCGTGGCCAGAGTGTTGATCCCACTGTCAGCGAAGAGGAGGGGCCGCCCCTCTTGCTGGAAGCATGAGGTAAAGCAGCTCGGCTGGGGTGAGGCTTGGAACATTCACAGTGGGCAGAGGCACAGCCAGGCAGAGTTGATGCCTGCCCTGACGCTGTGCTGCTGCAGAGCGCTAAATATCAGCTGGGGGAGACCCGGTGCCTGCGGAAGCATGAAGGAACCTGCTGTGCCCCCACTTCTCCCTGACTGATGCCAGAAATTCTACCCTTAGCGATCGATTTCTCAGGGTCCAAAGTTCTGAAGGAGGCGTCTCTGGACCAGCAGCAGCGTCCAGCGAGCGGGTTAGATAGCTCCCCCCCACCCCATATCTACAGAATCAGATGCTCTGGAGGTGGGGCCCAGCACTCGGCTTTAACAAGCCCTCCACGTGTTCTGATGCAAGTTAGAAACTGCTTCTGGGTTCAAGGTTTAAGTCAGTTTTTGTTTTCTAAATCTGGGAGGTCAGCCTGAGTTTGCCTTGAGTTTTAGGCTAGACTCGCCATCATTTTTATTTAACAAACACGTATAGAGCTTAGTGCATACCAGGCAGTGTCCAAGCACATTACAGATATTAACTCATTTAATCCATCGAAAAACCACAGTGAGCTCTGTGAGTTGGACAAATGCTTTTCCCCTCCCTGGACCCCGACTGCTGTCTGCAAAGGGAAGGGGCTGTACTAGGAGATCCCTGAGCGCCTTTCCACAACTCACCTGGTCACTGTCTCTCTGATTCTGGGGGCTCTGCTATAGCTGTCTTCAGTGGACTAGCCTGGACTCAGGCTGCTGCCCATCCCCACCCCAAAGGTCAAGCAGAAGACTCCCCCTGACTCCGTTTCTTCTTGCTGAATGAATGCTGGCTCACCAGAAATATCACAAATTGACCCGTTGGTCAGACAAAGCTGAGCCGGCTCTTCTCCGAGTAAGGGACAGCTTGACTACGTCTTCCCAGCGTGTCAGCATGGGGAGGGCAAAGTCACGGTAGTGAGATCTCGAGTCTGGTTTCAGGTGGGGCTTTCAGTGCAGCGGAGGACGCCTCGACTAGGATTGCATAAAGATTGTGATATAGTTTAGCATCGACTAGGATTGCATAACGATTGTGATATAGTTTAGCATCGGTGGACACAACAAAGAGACGTTTTAAGGCGAGGAGTTCAAAGAGTCTTAAGCTTAAGTCTTAAGCTCTCTTTTGATGGTATTTACTGAAGAGTCGGGCACTTTGATGTTCATTTAAATGATTCTTTCTGGAATTTCCTAGAATGAACAACACAATGATTTACAACTTTTACTTCCTGGGCAAGAGTTTCCTGGAATAGTACTGTTGTGTTGAAGAGGATGGGATACAAAGACTTATTAATGTCGACAGTAAGCTGTGTGCGACTAGAGGGTCGTTTCGTTTCGTTTTGTTTGAGAATACAGCTGACATATTATATTATCTTCAGGTGTATAACAATGATTCAGTATGTGTATATACTGCAAAATGACCATCACAATAAGTCTAGTTAACATCCATCACCACACATAAAGGGTTTTGGTCCTCAGGCTCTCCCAAATTCAGTGTTGGACGAAAGGGCCTTACTTTGGAGCTGCCATTTACATGAAACATGCCTGTCCCTTCTCAGAAAGCTGGCCCTGGGCGGGGACCAGTTCCTGGAAGGGTGAGCGTTAGCAGGGGCCCAGAAGGGCTGGGAGAGTTGCCAAGGCCAGGGAGGGCAGGCCTGAGAGACCACGTCACTGGATCGCTGGGCAGGTCATGGGCTGGGCCGGGCCCAGGGGCAGCCGGATCATGCTGTGGACCGGGTGGGCTGGACCCATCCCTCAGAAAAGGCACACAAGCCCAGATACTTTAGGTCCAAGCAGGAGCAGTCACTGAGCGCCTACTGTTTATCAGCACTGGGCCAGCACTTGTATGTTTTCTCGTTTACTGTCAGCAACAGCCTCTTGGTGCTCACTCTGCAGATGAGGACAGGCGTAGGGCTTGGGGGTTGGTGTGTGGCTCGGAAGGAGCAGAGCTGGGGTTTGAACTGGGAGGCTGGCTCGGGTGGGAGAAGCGATTGCTTTTTCCAACTCACACCTTCCTTCTCCCATCACATTCCTGTGAAGAGGCTCTGAGCCTTGCTTCCCTCATCTGTAAAATGGGTGCAAAGACTGCCCCCTATAATGCCACAGGTGGTGTAGGTAAGTAGCCCTTGGTGATCAGCATTATGCCCATTTCACACACCCGAGAGCTTCCTGACCCATCTGCTTACACCTGCCCTTGTGTGGACAGCTTTAGTGCCCTGACAAGAACCTTGCCTCTCTCAGGCGAGCACAGAGCTGTTTGTCACACATCCCTGGGGCACATCTGGATGTTGATGGGCACATCTGGATGCTGATTCCCACAGGGAATGAGAAGACTGACAGCTCACCGCTCCCCCCATCTTCACAGTTCAGGGATCTGTGAAGTTCTGCCTCGGGCTACCAAGGACAACTAATAACTCAGGACAATGAGGCATTCAAGGTCTTGGCCAGGAGCCAGTTGGGGTTCATGCTACTCTGTGTACCTCCAGATTCTGAACAGCCAAGAGCACCCTGGCACCCTCTCTCCTGTAGACAGGAAGCACTTAAATTAGGATGTCTTCAGGGGTGGACCCTGCAGGACCGCCACACCACACAACTCCAGTGGTGCCAGTCAAAACGCATTCTAACTTATCGACGCCAGTTACCTAGAAAATAACGTGCATGGGCTCCGGGAGTTGTACAAGGGATGTCTGGACTATATAAGAGATCCAGTCACTAGGATCTTTTTAGATGCAGATTCCAGGCCCACCTGAGCCCCAGTAAACCAGCCTCAAAGGAGGGCCCACACCTCTGCACCTTAATGAGTCTCTGTTTCTCCCTCACACAGCACCCAGAGTATCCTTTTATTTTTATTTATTTATTTTGGACGTGCTGCGTGGCTTGTGGCATCTTAGTTCCCCGACCAGGGATTGAACCCAGGCCCTTGGCAGCAAAAGTGCAGAGTCCTAACCACTGGACCGCGAGGGAACTCCCCAGAGGATCCTTTTAAATCCTAAGCCACTGTCTGCGCATGTCCCGCAGGGGCTCTCCATGGCACTTCAGTGCAAAAGCCAAGTCCTCACAATGGACTTTAAGACCTGGCATGGTCTTCCCTCCATTACTCCTCTGGGCTTCACTACTGCCCCCTTCCTCACTGTACTCCAGGCACACTGGCCTCCCATGGTTCCTCCATCCCTCGGAGCGGCAGATGACCAGTATGCATGACCTGAGGGAGGATGGGCATCCCCCAGTCTCCCCCACTAGCCTGTCACTGTGCCTGAAATCCCACCAGAAGGAGAGCATTGCTTTTGGCTTAGCATCACCCTCTCCCTGAGATCCTATCCCAACCCTTGACAGAATTGCGAAGGGGATTCCTATAGACAAAGCTGAGAGGTTGGATGGGACTCTGGCTCCTCAGAGCGTGATTCTCAGATGAGCAGCATCAGGGGCACCT